TCTCTAGCTGATTGATGCTCTACAAACTTACCTTATAGGGCCCCATAAAAAGTTCTAATCCACCAAGCTGCACCTCTACTGTACTGCTCTTATAGAATAGAATAAAATAGATTATCGGCAGGGAAGAAAAATGCCCTTGACCTGTTGCCGATTCTTGTACCTTTCGTGACTTGATTCACAAGGGATCAGGCCTTTTGAACCCGATCTTTCCAATCTTCTTCTTGGTTGTCCGTTGTGAAAACAATTACAACCTGGCAGCTAAAATTCAACAGGTACAATTTTCATCCCGTGATTTTTAGGGAGTGTCTCTGTGATGCAAAATAATATCTATATACTCGTTTGCGATCACAGATAACAGTTCATTGACCTGGCTTATGGTGTTCCAGGTTAGTCTGCGGCATCACGCTCTGAGGCGAGTGTGATTATTTTATGCCAACGCTGGTCGTTGGCTCCACGACTAATTCAAGATATTAAATTGTGACACACGTCTGCGTTCTCTCTAAAAAATGCATATATTTAACAAACGGCAAAAATTATACGAAAAAGACCAATATTTTTCAGCCAAACAACTCAATTGGCCGAAAAATGCAACCAACCCTTAAGGTGCCTGTACACAGGGATAGTGTTAAGCCCCGTTCTCACATAGCCGGTTAAAGATACCGGTATATCTAATGCAAATTTGCAAAGTTTAATCAGCAGACATGAAAGAAATGTTAATAATTAACAAAACTTGCACAAAAATGTGAAAAAGTACATCATTTTAACAGCAGATAGTATTAAATATGAACAATTGACAATGCATTTGCAAAAAAATATAAAAAAGTACAAAGTTGAAACAGCACATAGGCTGAAAATGTGAATAAGTGACAATGCTTTTGCACAAAAAAAAATTTTGGAACGATTTCACCCCTCCCGGTACCCCAGGATGGTCCCCCGGCCGTGCCGGTTGAGTTCTCACATAGCATCGGAACAGCAGGTCGGCTCCCGGACTTTTATGGTTCCGGGCGTACCGGCAAAATTATTCAACATGTTGAATAATTTTTCCGACCAAGCCGGATTATGGCCACGCCCTCCAGGAACTCTAGGAACTCCCGGATCTCATTTCCCGGATCTCCAGTTTGATAACCGGTAGCCCAGGAATCGATTCCGGGTGTCTTCGGCCCTTTAACCGGCTATGTGAGAACGGGGCATTAGCCGCTAGTTCATCCGCAGCATGAACTGTCCACGCTTCTAGCCTCGTGTTAGTTGTGTATAGGGCAGTGGTTCCCAAAATTTTTCAGGCTGGCGCCCCCTTTGGCTCCCTTGTGAATTTTTAACGCCCCTCACAGACACATATAAAAACATACGCCTTTCTCTTGAAATTTATTTCGCTGCAATTTTTAAAGATAAAGGTTAAACACAAATGTGTATTTCACAAATAGAACCCCATTTAGTGAACCAATATGTTTTTCAGCTGTTTTAACTGTTTCAGCACTAGAAACCTAAGACGTCTCGGGCAAATTTACGGCCGGACTTGTGGCCGGTCTCAGGACCAATCTCCAAATTCAATTATCAATAAATATCTCCCAAGCTATATATAATGAACGCAGCTCAATGAAACTTGGAACATGTACTCATCAGAACCTAACGGTGATGTTTAGCACGTGAAAATTTTTTTAATTTCACCTTCATTCTTGAGTTATATTGCGATACAGGCCAAAATTCGCAGTGATCAAAGAATTTCTTCCAAACTACTGAACAGGTTTGAACGGAATTTTGAATTTACATTGCTAACGACCAAACGGTGATTTTTTAAATTTAAAACATTTTTTGGTTTACCTTCGTTTGCAATTTTTTTTTCATTTCACCGTCATTCTTGATTTCACGCTTCCTTATATTCGGCCCGTATCGCCGGGTAATTTGTCGCTTAAATTCGCGGTGATCAAAAAATTTCTTCTAAACTACAGAACAGATTTCAACGAAATTTTGTATATAAATACCATAACCTCCCAACGGTGATGTTTAGCTCATCACAATTTTTTTATTTGCTTTCGTTCGTGATTTATACAGGTATAGGATAAACGACCGGCTTTTCTACCTGCCGTTTTAACCAAGAGCTGTTTAAGTATAGCCGTATAACTTGCAAACGAAGGCAAAATTGAAAAAAATGGTAACGAGCTAAACATCACCGTTGCTGAGGTTAGGCATTTAAATACTAAGTTTCGTTCAAATCTGTTCAGTAGGTTGCAAGAAATTTCTTGATTACTGCGAATATAAACACGTATTGCTGTTTAAATCACGAATGAAGGTGAAATAAAAAAAAAACTCGCGAACGAAGGCACAATCGAAAAATTTTTCACCAGCTAAACATTACTGTTCAGTAGTTAAGATTGTAAATTCAAAATTTCGTTCGAATATATTCAGTAGTTTGGAAGAAATTCCATGATTACTGTGAATTTCGGCCCGTATTGCCATATAACTATGGCAATAACAAATGAAGGCAAAATTAAAAAAAAAATTTCACGAGCTAAACATTACCTGTTAGGTCCTAAGAAGTTTGAGAGATATTCCATGATATTTGAATTTAAAAATTGGGCGTGAGACCGGCCGCGAGTCCGGCCGTTAATTTGTCCGAGACGTAAAATCAGGTGAAATTAAAAAAAACAAATCTGGGTGAAAAAACCATCGCTGGGAGTCATGATGTGCTGCACGTTTTGTGTGCAAATCGTCAAACGAACGTTGGAACTTCTGACTTCGACTTCAGACTGCCGCCCCCCTATCGCCCTTTTCTTCCTTACCGCCCCCCAAAATCTTTCCATCGCCCGAGGGGGGCGATATCGCCCACTTTGGGAACCACTGGTATAGGGGTTTAGCCGCTTCAGAGGCATGCGCCGGCAAGTGCCCGAGACGCGGCCGAGAGGGACAACGATTTTTTTTTTATAGTTGGGGTTAAGACTTGTGGCGACAAATGCGCCCACCAGCCTGTTCTCTGTCAGAAAGGGACAACGATGTGTTGATTTCTTCGCTGGAGAACCGGGAGCGGGAGAAGTGGCTAGTAGCGCTGATTCAGCCATGGTGAGAGCATCTGTGCCGCTCTTGTGAAGTATCTTGGATCAAGTGAATCATGGCTTTTTTGAACGATAATGTTTCTAAGAAGAATTCAGCAAAGTGGATTCCAGACGATATTCAATTATTCATTGAAAAATTCTAAAAATATGAATTAAAGAAGAATGTTTGCCATGATGATTACTCCAACAAAATGAAGAGAGAGACGAGTATTTTGAAACTGAAAGAAGACCTTATTAGTTACGGTTTCGTTTTTCCCGAAGTTGCATTTTTAAGGGCTAGAATGAAAAGTATAAAAACGACGTACAGACTCGAGTTGTTGAAGGTGATCCCACTATCCATCTTCGCAATCACTCGACGGCTTCTAACGACCGATTCGACACTTCAGCGAACTCGCGTGCGAACTCGCCTGCTCTTCTAACGACGCACTGGCGCTGGCGGGCGCGAACGAGTAGATAGCGGCAGTGCGGCACCTTATACTCTCCTCGTGTACAAGCTTCTTGCCAGATAGACACCAATCGACCGACACTTGCCAGATTTACCAGCCGACTGCACTCATGGTTGAACTAGTATAAGGTTAACCCATCAGAAGCCCATTTTGCGGATGTAGTTCGTTGTTCGCCTGTGACGTCACTGATCTCAGTGACGTCACGGGCATTAACCAATCACCGAAATGCGATCAAACGAGTCAACCAATCCGTCATGGGAATGACGGGTTTGTTTACGTTTCGTGATCTAGGTGACGTAACAAGAAAGCTGAACTGAAAGACGGAACTTCTCGTGTGTCAACCTTATATAATTCAACAGGCAACAGGCCATGGGCCTATTTCTTCAACGCCGACACTTCTATTCTATTCTATTCTAACCATGGACTGCAGTATCCCCTTGTACAAGCACCGTAATTTCTATTGAGTTTTCAAGCCATAATGTTTATGGAATATATTGCACTGACAACATTCTTTCAAGTTTGATGAAATAAGAATAAGAGCCTTTATCTGAATCGTGTGCAAGCGATGAATTTCAAAAATTATAACCCAAAAAGTCGGTAAAGAAAAATGTTTTCAGTATCCGCGTTTTGCTCACTCCACCACTTGTGGCTTATGTAGTTATGCTTGTCATTCCGTAGGTATTAGGTCGCAGAAGAGTTGACTGTTGCCTCTGCTGCGTGCCGCCGTGCCCGTTATACTAATTGTCGAATACAACACGGACAATATGAATATTGAAGCACCGCCTCTCTGGTCAAATGGTCCTAAACCAGGACTATTTTATGATTTTCCTGGACGTTCTGTCGGCCAAAGCTTGGTGAATGATCACGCAAAAACTCACACTATGTAAGTTTAACGGCCCAAGGGCCTCGACTAGCGCTATTAGCCTGAAATATTTTCCCAAAAAATTATATTCACAATAACTTTGTATATTTTAATATAACATAATCATAAGCCCATTTTGCGGATGTAGTTCGTTGTTCGCCTGTGACGTCACTGATCTCAGTGACGTCACGGGCATTAACCAATCACCGAAATGCGATCAAACGAGTCAACCAATCCGTCATGGGAATGACGGGTTTGTTTACGTTTCGTGATCTAGGTGACGTAACAAGAAAGCTGAACTGAAAGACGGAACTTCTCGTGTGTCAACCTTATATAATTCAACAGGCAACAGGCCATGGGCCTATTTCTTCAACGCCGACACTTCTATTCTATTCTATTCTAACCATGGACTGCAGTATCCCCTTGTACAAGCACCGTAATTTCTATTGAGTTTTCAAGCCATAATGTTTATGGAATATATTGCACTGACAACATTCTTTCAAGTTTGATGAAATAAGAATAAGAGCCTTTATCTGAATCGTGTGCAAGCGATGAATTTCAAAAATTATAACCCAAAAAGTCGGTAAAGAAAAATGTTTTCAGTATCCGCGTTTTGCTCACTCCACCACTTGTGGCTTATGTAGTTATGCTTGTCATTCCGTAGGTATTAGGTCGCAGAAGAGTTGACTGTTGCCTCTGCTGCGTGCCGCCGTGCCCGTTATACTAATTGTCGAATACAACACGGACAATATGAATATTGAAGCACCGCCTCTCTGGTCAAATGGTCCTAAACCAGGACTATTTTATGATTTTCCTGGACGTTCTGTCGGCCAAAGCTTGGTGAATGATCACGCAAAAACTCACACTATGTAAGTTTAACGGCCCAAGGGCCTCGACTAGCGCTATTAGCCTGAAATATTTTCCCAAAAAATTATATTCACAAAAACTTTGTATATTTTAATATAACATAATCATCTTCATAATCTGCTTCAATCATAATATTTTATAGTTCATATCAATCCTTAACAATTGGCCACATTGATCATAATGGCAATTGATGAAGAAGCATTGTAGGCAACTGCAGTCCATCATGATTGCACCTGTTGTCTTACAGCAATGAATTAGAATATTTAACATAATTAGGTTTTAATAATAATGCTAAAATGTACCTCCAAAGTTGATGTATATGTCCATCAATAAGTCAAGAATACAGAAAAATATCAAGATAACATAAAGAGACTACATTGAAAAGAGATGAGAATACAATTTTATCTTTCATATGAAGTTTTCCAAAGACTGACAAAGATTTTGCCAGTATAGTGGCACATTTCCACCTTGTATAGCTAATTCCTATTTGGACAACTGTAAGCTCAAATACAAGCCCTCTTTGAATCATTATAATCCAATAATGTGATCTAATCTCTGTATAAAATTTCAATTAAACATATATCCTAAAGATATGCTAAAGTATTCTTAATAATTAGATTATGTGATTATGTATCTCTAAATACATGGATCATCCTGTGTCTTGCTAAGCAGAATTCATTCCAGACATAAAGTTGAAATAAATATTATTGTAATCCCTTTTTTTTTGCAAAAATTTTCCTTTCAAAGAGATGTATATCAAGACTTCAGCAATCTACTCAGTGATTATTTTGTTTACTAATAATGGACTTGTTTGTCAGGTATCCTACAACAACTGGCACTTCAGTCATTGGTATTGTCTTTGATGGAGGTGTGATGATAGCAGCTGACAAGCTTGGTTCATATGGCTCCTTGGCCCGCTTCCGAAATGTGGAACGGATCTTCAAGGCAACTGATGAAGCTGTTCTTGCCTTTGGAGGTGACATAGCAGACTACCAGTTCATCAGAGAAGTCATTGAACAGAAAGTGTGAGTTCTTTTGATGTAGCCTTGAGTTTTAGTTTATAAACACTTTTT